AGTAGTAGTAGTAGTAGTAGTAGTAGTAGTAGTGGTAGTAGTAGTAGTAGTGGTAGTAGTAGTAGTAGTAGTAGTAGTAGTAGTAGTAGTAGTAGTAGTGGTAGTAGTAGTAGTAGTAGTAGTAGTAGTAGTAGTGGTAGTAGTAGTGGTAGTGGTAGTGGTAGTAGTAGTAGTAGTAGTAGTAGTAGTAGAACCTTTATTTAGCCAGGATAATCAATTAAGAACTAATTCTTATTTTCAATGATGACCTGGCAGGAGGCAAAAGGCTTCCTGAGGGGATGGGTGTTGGGAGGAAGAAAATAAAAAGACAGACTCCGGGCACTACAGAACCCAGGAGACAACACAATGACACAGAGAAGAGATGACAGGCATAGCAGTTAAACATATAACATTTAAAATAATACTGCTTGGGTTCAATCAGTCATTAAAATAATATAGAACATTCATCCATTCAATCATTCATCCATTCATTCATCCATTCATTCCTTCATGGCAATGCATACTATAGGAGAGGTCAAGACATTGGTAGTGAGCATCAGGCAAAGCAGATGCATGTGTGTACCAGGGTGTTTGTAATAGTGTCCCTGAAGGTGCGGGGGGAGATAAAGGTCTCCATCTTCAAGGTTTTTTGTATGATATCCCAGCTATCTGCTCCTGCAAACTGAAAGGCGGAGCGGCCAAAGGATGTGTGGGCTTTGGGGATCTTTAGCACGATGTTTGTAGCTGACCGGGTGTTGTGCGTCGGGGGTGGGCGGAGTTGCAGTAATTGTGTGAGGTAGAAGGGGGTGAGGCCTAGGAGTGTTTTATAAACAAACATCAGCCAGTGGATGTTGCGCCTGGTCTCAAGAGAGGGCCAGAGAGTACAGATCACAGTGATGTGTCCTGTAGTGATCTGTAGTGAAGCGAAGCGGATGGCGGAGTGATACAGAATGTCTAAATGATCGAGAGCTCCTTTACACGCCGAGCGGTAAACGGTATCACCGTAGTCGAACAGAAGAAGGACAGTCATCTGGACCAGAGAGAGTTTAGCAGATGAAGTGAGGAGCGATTCCTATATAGAAAGCTGAGTCTAGCTTTAACCTTGGTCTGAATTTTGGAGAGATGTTCTGAGAATGACAGATTACTGTCAATCCAAAATCCAAGGTATTTATAAGATTTAACTATTTCGAGGTCCCGGCCATATGCGGTCACAATAGTGCCAGTTTGGGAGGCACCACTGCGGCCAAGCCACATGATCTTGGTTTTAGTGGTGTTCAGGACCAGGCCAAGGGCAGAGAGATGTGACACAGATCTTACCTGATATCCTCTGGGTCGACCTTCCCCATCTCAACAGCAGGATCCACCCATGAGATGAGGACCGACTGAGGGGACATTACCCTGACACCGATGTCCCGGGCCTCATACTCTGGCGGCTCTGGAAAACACACAAAGAGGTAGAGAAAAACCTTGATGCTTTTGTTTCTCATAGGCTAACATGTCTACCAAAGATGCGCTGATGAGCTATTTTGATACATATAAAGTGCAAAGGAGCCAGATCATTCCCAAGAATAATACCTGGTGTGGTTGTTTTGGTTGCGATTGCTCTGTTGGCAGGTGCGCTCCGTCCCATGGGTTTCTGTGCCTGCAGTGACACCACATGAACGGACTCAGAGGCTATGAATAGAAAGGGATACCAGGCACGGCCAGGGTTTACACTATGCACACTAAAATAATAAAAAACTAAATGTACACATTTGCCTATTTTCATTATAAAAATGGCTAACATTACTCAAACATCATATTGTACTTGAACTGAAAGCTTTTCCCCTTTAATCTGGTGGTTACAATTGTAAAATGTGAGTCCTCTTACTTAGTTTGGCTTTGTTTCGATTTCTCTGGTCAGATTGAGGCTTGGTGTAGTGTTGGCGTCTCCTTTCTAGCGGGGGGGCTCTTGCCAAAGCCCTCTCAGGCTGCCTGGACCCTGAGGAGGACTGAGGGGCCCTCCTGTGTGTCCTGGCATTGGAAACGCCTGATGGGTGGGCTGTTCTGTTCACCCTGGTGGGCTGCTGTACCAAGGATGTTTTTCTGGCAGCAGTTTGCCGAGACCTGACCGGACCTGTTGGTGGACGAAAAGGTGGGGAAAAGTTAGTGCACAGGCTAGTGCACCGAAGAACCTTTATGACCCAATACTTCATTCATAATCTGCTCTTGATTTGGCTTTTAGGCCTGGTTGAAACTAACCGCCACGAAAGATCATTATACTTAATTGCTACACTCAAGACACGACCATTAAGTGATAAACACATAATTACATGTCACTTGTATCCAACACTGTCACTTAGCATGGCCACTTGTCACAAACAGGACATGCCATGGAACCGCACCACGTCCTCAACATGTCATCTGCTCCAACTCCTGAAGTCCTGCTTCCTGCTTTCAATCCCACCCTAGTTGTAACTCCATCTTGAAAAACAACTCAGACATGGACTCAGACAGCCAGACATTCCCCCTCATCTGGCTGCGGTGCTGAGAGATAGCATTGGCTACAAAACTGAAATACTCTTCTTTCTCTCCCCTCCTCCCTCTACACCTCCTTCATCCGTTACTCATAATTATTGTCAGATGAAGAAGTGAAATCAGCCCTGATTCCCATCAGCATAGCTGCATGCACAGCTGTGTGGGTACTGACAAGTCATCTGATGTTGGAAAGTGGATTTGATGAAATTCAAAGTGGTTATAAGGACAGTATAATGATATGATGAATGATATCCCCTTTCAACTAACAGTACGTTTGCCAACTGTGAATAATTTTCCAAGAGAGGCCACCACGCCCAAAAAGTTTTCTTTAGCTAAAGCGTTTGAAAAGAGAGACAAGCAGAGTTTTACTGCTGGTTCTTCTGTGACACTTTGTATAGGTGAGGAAACACAAATGAGACAGAGAGGATGTGAAGGGGAGCACAAAAGCACACAAGAAAGGCTGTTTGTTGGAGTGCTCCATTAGTGTCTCAAAGTGTCTCGTAAATCCTCACTGTGCCCTGCTGCCAGGCCAGCTGAGAAGATCTCTCCTCCTCCGTAGATCTGGACAATTTGCTGTTTAATACCGCAACACATCTCTCTTTCTCTTTGATGTTGCTTTTCTCTCTTCAAATCCTCCTCTCCAACCTCATCCACACCTGCACAAGTGGATAATCTGCTCTGTGTCATTTCAAGAAAATGAACTTAGACAGGAGCCAGTTAAACATAAACTCATCATGATTACACCAGTGTGGTTGCCTGTTTTATCTCATTCACTACAAATCACAAACTTACATTTTTTTCATTTATTTCATCAATCATCAAAGCTATTCTCTTACCACTTAGATGCTTTTGAGGCATCACTGTTAACAATAACCATAACAATAATATGGGACAATTCTCTGTCTTATATGTACCTACACAAGCTTCTCTCGTATAAGTTGGCAAAAAATAAATAAAACATTTGGTTTCAATCAGCCTAAATCTCCTTTCCCTTCCTCTTTTCTCTCTCTGGAAAGCTGTCAGTGCATATTTTGGCCCGGGTCATCACGCCGCGGACCACTAAACCATTGACTCAGTACTCTCATTTGCCAAATCCTTTCTGTTTTTTCCTGGAAGCTGGATGGTCCGAGGTGCTGTGAGGCAGACAGACATACCACTGATAGAGCGGAGACCCTCCTCAGTGTGTTCAGACCCGGTTCAGACTGATACTGAAGAATGATATTGTTGAGTGCTGACTCAATCCCTCGACAGAAACTATAATGCAACGTTTTTTCCACCGTCTGTGACATTTACCCAACTTCACAGGCAAGTCTAAACTTTGCAAACATAAATGGTTAGGATTGCTTACATTTCTCAGTTTAGCCACAGTTTAATTTATACAAACAATGTGGCAGAACTTTCCTGGAGGCAGAAATACTCAATTAGTCCCAACTAACAAAGACAGTCGCAAGAACTCTATATCAATATACATCACTTACAGTATGCTCAGTGGCTTCATTTATCATTTGCCTTCTTTCATGAATGAACAGTACTGTTTAAACAACTTGACTTGTAAACTGGGTTTATAAGCTAACGCCTGCTAACGTTTGATAACGTTTGATAACATTTCTGAGTTGGCACTTTGTTTGGTAGTTTTATAACAGCTGTCAATGTTCAGCATTTTTGGCTCATAAACGGATTGTTAAAATATTGTCATATGTTGAAGTGTGTTGTTCATTTAAACAAATAATGGAGACAGACATTTATTACATGTTTACTGCATATAATGGCTTAATACAAAATGCCTGGAATAAAGTGTTGGTCATATTTTCCAGTCTGACTTTTAGAAGTAAAAAGAATATGCAAAAGTGCTGGTCTTGAAGATCAATTCAAAGTCAGAGTTGAATACATACATATGATACCACTAGTAACCAAAAGAATAAACCAATAAAGCTATACGTTTATAGCATTATGACAATAACACAAAAAAAACACTGCCAGTGTATTAATTTGCAGTTATTCATTATTTTACTAGTCTTTCAGTTAGTATAAGCCTTGTAATATTACCTAGGATCATGAAAATTAGCCGGTAGCTAGCAAGATAACTTTAGCTATTACAAAACGTGTGAAGTGTGCTTGCAGGCTTTTTACCATCTTGATTCACCCCTTACGCTTCGCTAGGATTACTTTGCCAGAAACACAGTGGGTCTTTAGCTCCATTCACTGAGGTTAAACTCAACAAATATGATTAGCTGTGTCTCCGAAGCAGCTCTGCTTTAAACAAATAGAACTGAAACTCCAGAGCAGCACGGTGGTTCGGTGGTTAGCTGTGTCGCCTCACAGCAAGAAGGTCCTCGGTTCAATTGCTGGTCCTGATCTTTTCAGTCTGGAATCTCAATGGGTTTTCTCCCTGTTCCTCACCGCGGCATTATTATATGCCAAGTCAAGTGGTTTGGAAAGACCAAATTGTGCATGTGGAACAGTTTGAACGCGAGTATCTATTTGTGTTTGCCCTATGGTTGGCTCATGAATGTTTACATGACGCCTGCTTTAATGTCCAGATGCCCCAGGAATGCACAGAAATAAATACATAAGAAAATATTACAGAAAATGTAGTGTAATAGTAAGATTCCGTAAGTCTGCCTCACTTAAACAAGAATAACCTTTTATTTCTAAAGAGCTTGAACAACGTTAAATCAATATCAGAGCTGCAAAAACTTCTAATGGATATCTTTCTTCTATTATTTAATTAATTCTATCAAAAAATCTTAAAAAATAACATCATAAGTTCATAGATGTATGTACTGTCCAGATAATAGACCTGTCATGTCCGAAGGTATTATATTAACACTGGGATACAATTCGAAATACAATCAAAGAGCACACCTTTGGGAATTGAGAAAGAGTGTGTAGCAGTTCTTAATGAGAAATTACAGTTTTTTGTCAAAACAAATGTAAGAAAATGCTGAATCGCTTGACAGTGCATTGATAACAATGTCAACACAGTTACTCTTCATGCAATTATGTGATCATTAAAGTGGCATTCATTAGTTAAGGTGACACAACTTTAAAAATAAATGTTACATTTGGATCACTTGACAGAAAAACACACTAGCCAAATACTGTAGATGGGAATCTATGAGTCAGAGACCAGGAAGTACTTTCCCCCATTTAACTTGTACGGGACAGAATAAGTGAGCCTTACGAACACCACTATGAGTGACTCATCGTCACATTCGATTTGGCGGTTCCTTTTATATCCATGATGACAGCAGCAGATTTAAGCATACCCCGTTTAATGGATTTAGCCACACAGTTTTAAATGTGCGATTTTTACTGAGAGTCATGTGTTGTTGGTTAAGATGACATTAAATAAGGTTTACCTGCTGATGAGTTTCTGACAGGTGCAACGCCCAACACAGCAAAGCCATCCAGGTTAACCCATTCGGGATCTAAAAAACAAAACAAAAATGATTGAATGATGTCGAGAAAAGAAACGTGAAGTAACGTAAATAAGTTAAAGAAGAAAATCAGATTTACTGAATCATTTTTACCTGTTGAACACAAGTTCAATTCGAAATGTTGTTTTACTTTTTATGGTCAGCTTTTACATTTGTGTAATCTACTTTCTCCTCTTGTCAGTGAGGAAAAAAGTTAAGTTGTTTTCTTTATGTCTCCACCTCCACCTTGTCCTTACTGATAAGTAATCTCTCTGTTTGTGTTGTTCTAACAGCGGTTGGCCAGACACATTAATGATGTGGAGGCAAACAGCACGGTGTTATTTATGATGACTGATGCTGCTCTCATGCTGCTGAGGGAAGAACACACGATCTGCAAGGAATTTCTGGAAAAGCAACACTGAGACGTGCTCCTCGGTTGCCAGAGACTCATGGCAGACTGCACCGGAGCTGGAGAGACCGCAACAGCGCACACACGCCCATAAACACAAAGGATGATATAGATGCATATTTGACACACTATACAAGACAATGCATGACTCAACACTTGGCACCACACTTTCCCCAACCACACTCTCCACCACCAAACACACTTGTTGCGCACGCACGCACGCACGCACGCACACACAAAGCAAGTGACCACAACACAAGGCATCGGGTTATAGGAGTGGAGCTGGCAGGGACAGAGAAAAAAAAATGGAATAATGACAAAAACAGGCCAGACTGTGTCAACACTGCAGAATATTGAAATATAAAAACCTGCCGTTTAACAAGGAGGGATTAGGAAATAAGAAGCGATGTTAAAAATAATGTCTTTCTAAAGCCTAAAATAATCTCTGTGTAAAAGCTAGGGAAAATACGCCCACAGTGCTCTTTTTGGCTATCTTGGATGACAACACATCCAATATTGAATTGTACATGCACACGTGTGCCAACACTTCACCCCCTGCATGTCCTCTCTGCTTCGTACCCAGATTTACATTTCCCCTCTTCGTTCTTGGCACTTGTTTTGACAAAGTGCAGGACTCTGAGATCTGAAAGCTCTCTCCATAGTTTAAGCCAAATGTCTTGTTCCTGCTTTCTGTCCATTTATTTTCCTCTTAATGACTTTTTGTCGAGCAGTACTGCCACCACTCCCCAGGTCCCTCAGGAACGTCCACTTGTGATTATATTAAGTCCCTCTTTCCAAACATCTTGCTCGCACACTCTCCTTTTTTAACTGTCTCTGTGTTTCTGCCTTACCTACATCCTCCATTAGATGAGGGCTACTGTCTTTTCCGATTTTAGCGAAGCGATGAGACCTCGTGGGTTTGTTGGAGCTGATGACAAAGCGGTCCACAGGTCTTCCATCGAGATGAATGGACGGCTCCCAGCGCTCCCTCAGGCTCTTATCCACAGATGTCTGTTTCCCATTCTGTGACCGCAGGGGCTTCTCTGCTGCAAAACAAATGACGTCAGGATAAATTGTGTCTGTAAAACATTTATTTTGAAAGTTTATTTAAAGTTTATTTCTCCTGTCGTAAAGGCTTCTTGCCCCTACTCATTATGACATAAATGTTATTTCTACTGTTTATAAACCTTTTATGCAGGGCCACCTCAACAATTCCCCCTGGATTTATTATACTTGGCATTCAAAGTAACTCTGATTCAGATGAAGCATACGTGTAAGGCAGCCCTGAAAAATACAAACTCATTTGATGGTTAAATAAATGAGTGAGGATTTGTTTGGATGGCTCAAGGCTCAGGACAATAAGCAATGTTCAGTCTCCCTCTTGGCTCGATGTACTGTACACAAAACAAAGAAAATAGTTACCACTGCTGTGTTTTGGACCAAAACTCTTTTCTCTTCCTTTGGTTTGCATGCTAAAGCAACAGCGAAAATATTCAACAGACCATCAGTACACCCAGATCATGAAGTAAAGTAACCATGAAGAAACCACTGAGAATTATATAGATTTTATCCCCAATGAAAATGTAAACAGGATAAATTATGAAATCAGCTTCTATGCAAGAAGAAAAAATGCCACAAAAGGAAATCCATACAAAGAAATATGACAACAAACAACCATTTGAGAAATTACAAATAGCTGATTCGTACGCAAAATAATGGCCTTGTGCCTGAGTGCTTGAATGGATGTTGAAACCTCAGCTGACTCTACATCTGTTGGGGACATATGGAAAGATGTGATGCATAGTAAAGAAAAGCACTTAATAGTTTACAACCCTGACCCAATGAACTATACAGAAAACCTAAAATCAATCCATGTGCAAGTCGTTCTGTTCAGTGGACCATTTTTAGAAGATGGTTATACAGTTAGAGACTCTGATATCAGGATGCCAACAACACTAATTAAAACATTCACATACATGAATCATTAACCTTAGCTAAATCAGTGGTGATATTAACACCATATTAACACCACAATGATTAAGTCACAGATTTGAATGTGTTTTACCAGCACAAGTTAAATTGGATGTTACTTGTTGCAACGGAGCTGCAAATGACCAAATGACACAAAGACAAATATGAAACAGCTGTTGCCAACTTGAATTAATTGTGTGCTTCAATTATATACATTACAAGTTACAGTCCATAATAATTTGGAGTGCTGTCTTTGTAAGTCTCATTTGACCCCATTTTTGGTCTCCACTGACTCCTGAAGGGTGTCTTACGTTTAGCACTTGGCAAAGAAAGAACTAAAAGTTGCTGAAATGCTTAAAAGATTTGAGGGGATACAAAAAAATAGGATTCAAGCCTTGGCTAAATGTAGAGGATCTTCTTCAAAAAGACAAGAGTAGGGTTTTTTTGCATGCTCATTATTCACCCCTGTCACATATAATTGTGAGTGTTGTCAAAAACATCATAAACAGCTGCTCCTTAGGGCTGTCAGCGCTCCCCAAAGGTTAACAGCAGACGTTTTGGTTTAGCATCTTCTCAAAATCACCTCATTGCTCTGAGTTCTTGTTGTCTGCAGGTGTTCGCCCAGCTGGATCTGCAATTTTATTTCTCACATTCATAAAAACTTGCCGCTAAGGCCTCGTGTGCGGTCGTTTACAGATGGTCGCAACTCTTCTGTGGCCCACAATGTTGTTTAGTATCTGCTAAATGGTTGTCTCCTCACTGTCACCACTGATTTAAACCAGAGTTTATGAATGAGTTTGAGAGTGTTCTTCCAAAACAACATACAATCCTTACTCATTTTATCCTCATGTATGCAGGGTTACAGTGGGGTCAATTTTATCGTCTGTTCGTGGCCGACACAAGTCTGGACACACTTCTCTCCCTCCTTCCCTGTTTCCAATGAGGCCATGTATTACGTAGGAAGCGATCTGCTCCTCTGTCAGGACATCATTCTGGGATTTGGCCCTCTTTGGAAACGTGTGATCCAAGGGCAAACCAGATATTTCTGATTACATCAAGACTCAGACCTTCAAGCTGAGCAGATGCATGATTTCCATCCAAGAATAAACAGTTTGGGAAGCAGTTAAGCAACTGAGTGGTTGTAACATCAGAGGTAGGCTTTATTTCAGGGCGTCTCCAAGGGAAACCAGGTCAGTAATATAACATTTAACAGACAGACAGTAAGTGTGTGATTGGATTAGACAGTGGAAAGGAATAAGTATGTGAAGAATGAGGGCAAGGCCTGAGGGTGATAATGTCACAGTTTCTTTTCAAAATATATATGTGTGTGTGTGTGTGTATGTGTGTATGAAAGAGTGAGAGTCAGACAGACATGCGTGTATGTGCATGTGTAGTTTGGGTAAGCCCTGAGGACTCCTGTAAAACTGTTCCAGAAAATACTTGCACTCATGCACCTGCAATGTGCTCCACTTTTACAAGTGCACCCTCTCACCCCGCACACAAAATCACAGAACGTTGACCCCCCGCTCACCCCCAATGAGTTTGCCATTAACCCCTAATAACTGTCCTCTTCCACAAACTCCCATCAACACAGGATCACTGGTGAAGGGTGTGTGTGTGTGCGTACGTGTGCGTGTGTGTGTGCTCGTGTGTGTGGGTAAGATAGAATGTGTGGAGGTTAACAAGGTAGTAGTTCAGTTTCGAGCTAAGACTGTCCTGTCTTTGACATTTTTAAGAATAAGACTGAAGTGATATACAAAAGTACTTGTCTAGATCTTCATAATTTGCTCTGATGGCATCACAAACGGGTGTTTTCTCTCAAATAACTGTAGGACCTGGAGGCATGTACAGTAATGGAAAGGTTATTACTTTTTATTATATATGTTTATTAAATTGCAGTAAAAAGGGACTGGACAATTCAGAGACCTTACTATCAACAGTGGAAATACTTTGTAAAAGATATGTCCAATGTTCTTTGGATGATCAAGACTGACTGGGAATGATTCTAAAACAGATATGTTGCCGTTGAGAGATGCTGCGTGATTTGAAGCCCAAAAACTAAGTTCACCTAAGTGATAAAAGTTGTTTTTCCTGTTCATTTTAATAAACCAACCTTCTAAAGTTATAGTCTGACATTTTCTACTCTTTTGTACTTTCTTTCTTTGCAAATAGTTAGAGAAAATCAACATCACCAATGTCCTTTAGATGAGTCAGATCTGGCCAGGGGCTACACACACTGTTTGCACGTCTGTTAGCCTTTAAGTCCTCTGACCTTTGACCTTCAGTAAACTCTTCCCAGCAATCAACTTTGTCATAAATCCAACACACCAGACTGAAATCATGCCTATAGGCACGCTTGCACATAAATCACTAAATGCTGCCATTTTTTAAATTATGACTTAAGCCTAATTTAAAAGGGAAATGTGACTGAGAACAACTTTAATTTAAAGCAACAACCTGGAGTGAGTAATTGTTTAACTTGGGAGGGCTATATGCATTCATATTAATATTGTATGACATTTGACATTTACCAATAAAAGCCGGCTAGTACAATCCTAATGAAAATACATATTTTGCAATTCCAAATAGGTCTCTTCACTGATGAAGACTGACATCTTTACAATGTTAGTTTATACTATTTCTTCCATTAACCCACTTAGTATGCTGACATGAAGTGTGCTGTGACAGGTGTGCTCATGGCCCAAGTGGTACTTGCTTAAACATCTGGTATGGCGCCTAGAGATGACATCATGACACGAGACATGCAGGTTTGACAGGCAGCCAACTGGCAGGTGGGTGGGGAGACTGGGTCAAGCTATGCCAGGTCACAGGTGACCAAATACAGAGTGTTGTGGAAAATATTTGAAATATATTCGATCTGCAATGGCTCTATGAGTGTCGTATTTTCCAGATGCAGAGTTATGACATTCCTAATTCAGAACGTTTTCTTCGAGATCTGTCTCGGGTGCTTCTGCTGAATTCCAGCATGTTAAGTGGAGCAGAGAAATTAAATTCCACTGGCCTGCAAAGACATGATTCCCTCTTTCCCCTCACTCTCTGTCCCATTAACACTCACCACTCTTTCCAGGAGTTGATGGACTGTTGCTGTATGGAAGAAGATGACATTATCTATTATCTAAATACTCTATGATTCTGTTGTCTTTTTGCGCTGCTCTTGTCAAGGTGTCCAGATATTCCTGAGAGCCCAGTTTCTTCCACTTTTCTGAAACATTCTAGACTGACAAGCTGATGACATGTGAGTGGAGAAAGTTAATGAGTAACACTCTCCTCTCCCATAAACACTGCTGTCAAAATGCCCGAGAGGAGGACGTTTAACTCCAAGTCGCTCCAGTGGAGCTGCTCAGTAGCCCGCAGCAGTCAACTGTGGTTGTGTTAAGTAGCTCGCAGGTGTGAATGTATGTATAAGTGAATGTGCGAAGCAGGGTGTTGCAGAGAAAATGGTCAGAAAATACATACAAGATGGAAAAGAAAACGACTAAAAAAAACATAACAAACAGCAGCTGCGTATATTCAGAGAAAGCAATGACGTCATGCTCTAAGTGCTCACAGTTGAGAAGGAAGGAGGCTGGATATGGATCAACTGACAATATAAGTAGACTGAGTATGTTTGAGAAAAAGGGAGAAAAAAAGACTGACTGTAACGTGGCCCTCAAACTGAAGCCAAAGGGTCAGCTTACTGTCGCCAGGCTTTATGGCACTTTTGATATTTTAGATATTTTCACTGGAGGTTGGGCTTCCTTCCCTCCAAATTGATTTTACAAACAGAACCTTAACAACTTTTAAAACATGTGTGCTGCCGTCTGTGCCTGTCAAAGATGTGACAGTTGATATATCACCATGCTGACATGCATTTAAAAAATCAAATATATTAAATTACAACTTTCTTGAGGGTACAAAGCATTTGGAGTCCCTTTTCATCTTTATCCTATCAGGGGTATTTTACCCATTCCTGTCTCCTGATTAAAGCATGCATCAAAGTGTGAGGGGGAAAAAACGTAAGCACCCACTTATTTTCTCCCATGAAACTGAGTTTCACAGGCTGGTTATTTATCCTCAGCCAGATGAGTCACCCATTTGGCATGATACCCCTCAGCAGAAAGCACAATGGTGCAGAAATATTTATATTCTGATAGTTGATCAGCTTCTCCTGCATCTGCCTAGTGTTTGAGTTTAGGAATATTTCCATGACTGCCAGCATCATGTTCCCCCCATACAGTATTAAATATAGCCTGTCTTCTTTGCTGTAACTGTTAACACTTTTTGCACATTGTAAATCGAACTTTACACTCTAAATGAAATAGTCTAATGCACAATAAATGGCTACAATTTATCTCATTTTTAAGTCAACTTTCACAAAAATGTCATCTGCAACAGCTGTGGAAATCTTAAAGGCTTCGCGCACACATGCACGCGCGCACTTATACATTATATATTTTTCTTTCCATTAAAAAATAACAACATCCAAATTAATGAGTAGAAACTACCTGTTAACGCTGCAAAACGTACAGCTTCCATCAATAACCTGCAACAACTTTCAATCAAATTTGATCCATAAACCACAAGAGGAGAAAGCAACAGTGTCCGAGCAATTATCAAACTGAATTACACACGAATGCAAAACGTGCACCTGTTCAAAAGATATTAAGTGAACAAATCTTTTACCTGACCATCCGCATCCAGGTGCGCAAAACGTAAGGAATAGCGCCAAGAGGGTCCTGCTTGCGGCTAAAGCCATAGTGAGTGTGGCGCTGAGCTGCGGAGCGGCGCAGCAGCTGGATGCAGAGGGCTGGGACACTCCAGCCCCCNCCCTCCCCTCTCCTGATGGGACCGCTTCCTGAACTCTCAGCTTCTTATGTCAACAAAAAAGTTTTAAACATTATAATAAATATCAAAGATCAAACTCTGCAGGCGATTCTGATTTGAAATAACTGATTACATTGTGAAGTGGGCTTTAACTGTAATGTAAACTGTGAGGCAGAGTGCTGTCTCTGTGAATGAAGGCTTATGTTCTTATAGTTTTCATTTAGTAACATTTATTTCATTTAAACATTCCTATAGGAAAACATTTTTTCATATGCCTGCAAACTGTTGCATTGTGTCTCTGTTTTTTGGATCAAGTGATAGTCCAACATTGACAAAATGTCTCCCCCTTCAGGGAACACCACTGATTTCACCCTAAAGGTCTGGTAGCAGGTGGAGGGAGACATAAAATGACTGCGGGGTGTAGGCTAATACCAGAACCAGAATAATGCAGATATTAGTTATTTAACATGTTGTCCATAAATGCTCTCTTCACCTTTAAGCCCAACACACACATTCTCCTCATGGTTTAGTTTAATGTGTCAGATTGTGTGTGGTTGTTTTCAAAACTTCGGAAAAATGGTCTCATCTGCTTATATAATTACATTAAGTTTCTAAAGAAGTCGGTTAACCACTAGATGGAGCAATACGCCACATTTTAAACTATAGTCTAGCTGTGTTCAAAGGTAAGAGGTAAGGTTGTAATTATAAATGGTGTTTACAGTAGCAGTAAAGACAGAAGTGTAGATGCGTGTAAAGAGTATATGTCTAGTCAATTTAACTAACCTGCTTATTTTTGTATGATATCGTAGTCAAATAAGGTAGAGAACTAACAATTCACACTTGTGCATATACTGAATTTGAGGTTCTCTTTCCTATAAACATATGTTGGGTGGATGGTACATGGTCATGTATCCAGTTTATTTCTGTAAATATTGTCAATTAAATGCTGTAGGAGTTAAGATTAAAACATCTAGAGGACATGGTTGCTTTCTATCTTTTTTCAATGGTTACTGTGACACTAAACTCAGTGAATTTGCTGACAATTCCAAGTATTTAGAAGGAATATGCTAATGTATTGTCTTTCTCATTAAGTACTTTATCTGGCAATGTTTGATCATGTATGGGCTCACCAAGCAACATCAATTTGGGGTTTATCCACTTATCTATGACCAACATCTCCCTCTGTTGGCGAGAGCCTCTATCTACAGGAAAGATATGTCACCATGACACTAATTAAGTCACGACAAGCTCTAATGCAAGATTTGAAGAAGTCACATGATATATTGTTATTCTTTATTTGTTACTGAGAAAAAGGGGGCCGTAATAGTCACAAAATCAATATGTGATCCTCTCCGCTGCCCACAGGGGCCGTAAAGTAATTATTGTTTGTTTTTTTATGTTCTCTCTGCCCTCAAATCCTTATAAACTCATTACTAGTGATGATTGAGTCTCTCTTTTTAATACTCTCTCTCTCTCTCTCTCACACACACACACACACACACACACACACACACACACACACACACACACACACACACACACACACACACACACACACACACACACACACACACACACACACACACACACACACACCTGCAGCATCTTGAATGAGTCAGCAC